GTAGTTTCCTCATGCCCTTCTATTGATCATTACACTGTTGGATACTTAAGGAGGATCATCCCAGTCTCTAGAGATATATGTTCGTATATAGCTCTCACTCTTTCTGGTACTTTGTCCCACAAATTCTAATTGCTTTGATTCCTTGGGCTCCGACCTTCAACTCAGAGACTCTACCTATCTCCACCAGCGTTCTCATTTCCAAAGCTACATCCAGGAGACTCTCTCAAGGCTGTATTGCTCCCTAGGGCAATATAGGGCTATCTTATCTCCCGACTCTCAGGAATTGTACTTTTTGCCTGATATTCAGTATCACAAAAACCATAGTTTTATTCTCTTTTTTCACTTTTTGGTTGTTATAGGCAGAATGTTAATGCAATCCATATTAGTACGTCTAGGCAAGAAGCAAAAGTCTTGGTGCTGGGCTCTTAATTCACATTTGTGATTATATGGAGCTAAACAGCTTGTGATTCCCTCCTTGGTACTGTTGTTGACCACCTCTGATTCCTCATCTCCCCACAACCCCAACAACCACTTAAGTCCTGGGGGTTAAATGAGTGTGTTCCACTCTGATTTGGGAATTTTCCTCCAATATGCTAACACGTATTTTTCCAGTTTGTTGCTAGCTCTTTTGATGTTGGCACCAGTGTGGGCAAAGATAGCTGTAGCAAGATTATGGCCTGTCTGAAAGAGAGACTTTAACACAGTAATAACTGTAGGATTTATTCGATTTTATACATATTAAAATATGAAAAGTTATTCTATTCTATTTGGGAGTCAAAAAAATTGGGTATTTGGACAATAGGATTTTCTAAGCAATCAGATAGGAAGATGAAGTCAAAGATGGCTCCCAAGTCGGGCCTCACAACTGGGAGAGAGAAATTCCCCATTTGGGGCGGGCGCAGCATCCTGTCTGGTCTGTCCAGTACACACCCTCCATGGAGGGGAAACCTGAATGGCTCACATGTCCAGCTTTTCCTTATTTTGTTGGGTATATTTTGAGGGTAATAAAATTAGCATGAAGAGTTAAAATATACCATTAAAATATCTTCAACATTAGCAGGGTTTTATTTATATGTAGCCAATTTTATTAACAATAATGACCCTTTCATTTAAAAAAATTAAAAATAAATATTAGCCCTACAGGTTCAAAGGGAAGATTCCTTAAAATCATGAACTTATCAACAGATGTAAAAATAAGATAAATCAGATATCAGAATGGGACATCCTAAATTTACAAAGCATTTACCTTATCACCTTTCTCCATTATACCAGTAAGTCATAAAGAGCAGCCACAAATGGCAAGATTTTAAAATTTAATATAAAATGTAGAAGGGTTCAGAATATACATATTTATGTATATTTTCACAAGAAAATCTTTTAGGTACAATCTTTCATGGTAATTTTCTTGGAAAAGGCCATTCACAACTCATATATGTATATGACAGAATATATGATCCCAGTGAAAACTTGCTTATTTAACTAGGAGAGAGGTTGCCTATTTTTGAAGCAGGCCTTTTAGAATTGTCAGTTAATAACATAGACATATTTCCTAAAGATTGGCATCATGGTTCTGTCAACCTTGCCAGAGCAGGTTAGGGCCAATGTATTTGATCATAGAACAATGTGCTTTTGTAAGAAGGGTGCTCAGAGGATTGCACAGAACGGGCTAGAGGAGGTGGTGGGCAGCCGCACCAGCGGCACTCCCCTGTGAAGAGCCATGCTGCCAGGCACCAGACTGCTCACACACCCAGGGTTCTCTAGAACACCTCTCTGCACGCAGCAGTGAAGTAGATCAAAGTAGAAGAAGCCCCACCTGTCTCAAATTGCTAAGAATTTATCACGAAACAAGACAACCTTGTAGAGATATACAACTTAGAGTTATTTATCAACATGTAGAAAATTAAATTTTTAACGTTTTCCTATATTGTTTTTTGTTAAATGAAAAACACAGTTTGTGAAATTATCACCTGAGATATATCAGGTGATGCTAACAGTTGATACATGAGAAAAAGCTTCCATGGATAAACATATTGTGTGTACCCTTGGCTAACTAGAGTGAAGTGGGTTTCTTTGGTTCAGTGTTTCTAAAAACTACTAATGTGTCTTGGGAATTGCCATATGTAAGGTTCAGCGTATAGGATACCCCTACGTGACTTTTCTCAGCCTCCTTTTTTAGGGAATATCTTGGGAGGCTAATGGATTGTCAGTTATCTTAGAATTGCTAGTCCCTAATATGGAGCACAACACTAAGAGACTTTTAAAAATTATTTATAGAATCAAGTACTAAATTTACTGATTCCCTAATGACCTGTCTGGAGTCCCTCAGACCTTTTCATAATACAAGAGTCAGTTGTGTGATCCCAACCACTCAGTTTGCGCTAACAGGAGTCATTCCACTTCTCGCTTTGACTAGGCAACTGTGGAAGGGCGTCAAAAGATATTCTGCTTTTGCCTGGCCTACTTTCTCCATCCTACCTTCCTCCCCCAGGAATCTTCTGGGTTCCTCCTCATTCTTCTTCTGGGAGCATTAAAATGTCACCACATCAGGCAAAAGCCAGGCCTCGCGCCTCAGCCTGCGGAATGTGGGTTGCTGCAAAGCAGGAGGGAGGCCGCCCGAGCTGTGTGGGGGTCGGAAGCCTGCTGCTGTGCACGGCGTGACCAAACAGAAAGCTTCCCTTTTACTCGCACTTTATTTGACCCGTGGATAAACAAAGATTTTCTATTTGTAGAAGTCTCATTGTTTTCAACTGCTTTGAATTTCTTTTGCCAGATTAAAAATTCATGTCTTTGTGCAAGGCATTTAAGGCTCCGGGAGCCCAGTTTTAGCATTTTTTTGTGAGCCTTGTCTTCACTCCCCTTACATTTCATTATTCTTCTATGCCATAAATTCTCAGCTTTCTGAAATTCAGCCTTTCTTCCACAATGCATGACATTAAAAACAGCTCTAAGATTATAGTGTGAGTAGAACACTCAATATTGTAGAGGACTCAATAAAAGGAACCGTTTAATAGCAAGAATTAAGATGCATGATTCTCCTTCTTAAATCACAAGGTAATGTGGTAGGGGCCATGAAGTGTTTAAAAGCACAATGCAAAAAGCATCTTTCCGCTCCTATTCCTTAGAATTTGAGAGAGAGGAAGAAAATACAACTTACAGATACCTGCCGTGTTCAGATAGTACACTTGTCTCGGTTGCTTTTCACATTCCATGTTGCTGAGACAAAATGCCCAAAACCCACAACTTAGAGGAGAGGAGCTTTATTTTGTCTTAGTTTTAAAAGTTTCAGTCCATGGTTGGCAGGTTCAAACATGGAAATGGCATGAAAGAAGGACTGCCACAGTGGGAAACTATTTATGTCCTGACGGCCGGGAAGCAAAGAACAAAGGAGAAGCCAAAAACAGAGAAGTGCCTTGCAACAGCCCCAGGGACCCACCTCTCCCAGCCGACCCCCACCTCCGGGCAGCACATCTGCCCGGAGCCCGTCTGGGCACAGGCCACTGGTGGGCGTAGCATCCCATGGTCCAAGGGCCTTCCAAGCGCGTGACTTTGGGGGGACTGTGCAAACTCAACTGCAACAATATCCCTTATCCAGCCCCAGTTGTGTGTATTCACCACAGTATAATGAAGTTACATGTTACTTGCTTTGTTTTACAATCAAGAAAACTGAAGATCAGAGAAGTTAGGTAACTTCTGAGATTCACTCATTTAAACTGAATTTTCCCAGAAGACAAGATGGCAATGTTAAAAGTTCAGAGAAATTGGGTAACTTGGGGGTTCTCTTACGTAAAATAAATTGTTCCAGTGACAGAATGATCATGTACAAGATTGCAAAGATCTGGAAACCGAGAATCCCACAGAGCTTCTATGTATGCCGGTGGGTTTTTAAGAAGTTGAGCTTCTTGGGCCTTTCTGTCCACTTGACCCTGGATTCCTCACTGTATTTCTTAAAGGCTGCATTTCTCCTTAAAACCCTCTCTGCCTGTGCACAGGCTGTGGATGCAGGAATAAGTGATACGATTTAGATGCAGGGAGACGCTGCAGTGCCAGGTAAATGCAAGGCATTGTCACAAACACAGTCCTGAGGGATAGTCCTAGTGGTGTAACCGTGGTGTGTGTAATCTACTCCAGTTTCCTTAAAAATATCTGCTTCTAATAAACTTAGGCTCCATTAGTTTAAATATCATATGGTGTTTCTCTTATAAAGAGAAGCTGGTAAGTAGGAAATAGGGAGACAGACCTTTTGCAAATGAGATGAGAAGAGGACCAGGAGATGCTGCAGGATCTGAAGAAAGCACATTGCGCTGTGTGCACGCAGCAACTCCCCGCAGCAACGTGATCACCGCGTACTGCAAGCTTGTACTAACAAAAAATAAAAGTTGAAGCAATGATGTGTAACAAGACGATCTGTGATTCCGTTTTCTAAAAGAATGATCACAAAAGAGGAGCTATGTGTGAAAAAATGGTAAGAGCCCCTTGCGGGTCACTCACCGTGGGTGACGTTAGGTGCAGCGAGTACAAAGCGTAGTCAAGAGCTCGAAGGCAGGGTTGCCACCCTCCAGGGGTGTAAAGCATAGAAACAAATGTACTTCCTCGTCTTTCTATCTTTCCTCCTTATCCAAAACAATGTGCCAGGGAGAAGTCCAAGTTCTGATGTAATAGATTCATCCTTTGAACGTTAGAATTTATTTTTATGTTTTAATTCAGTGCAAATGCTCACATCCCAGGAAATTTGATGATATAAGACCGTTTTAAAATCAAAAATGAAAACTTGCCAATCTGTTTTTCAACATATCAAAATTTGTATTTTCTTACAAAGGTCGAATCTTCCCACATTACCCAATGCTGAGGGAGGTAGAAATTTTAATTGGCTTTCTCATTTCAAACATGTACAAAAATAATTGTCCATTTTTGAGATAGACTAAGTCGCTACCTTTAAGTGGGAGGTAATTAATAACTTTCTGCAAGTGATGTGCTTCTAAGACTGCCTTGCTTTCTCCTAGTGGATGACACTGTGGTCGCCATTCCCTACGGAAGTAGACACGTTCGCCTTGTCTTAAAAGGACCTGACCACTTGTGTGAGTAAACTCAGTTGTGCGGGGATTTTGGGGGGAGGATTTTATCCATTATTATTTATTTTTGTTCCCAGAAGGGATTAAGACACAAGAGTACAAATCTCTCCACTCCAGCATAATATGGTATTCCGAGTGCTTCTGTTTATCTTTTGGAAACTTCTGTGGCAATTATCTCTCACCACAGTCCTCCTGAAAAACACAAAATAGATGGTCCCAGTGGGTTGCTCATGGGTTAAGCATATGTTTATGCTTTTGTGAATATTATTTTTCATTCTGTCTCTTGTTTCCCTCAAATCTCTTTTTCTTGTCTGTTTTTTTTTCTTTTTCCTCCTTCCAACATTTCCTCCTTCTGCATTCTTTTCCTTTTACTTCCTAATCTCATATTTCACTACTTAACCAATTCAGAGAAATATGGAACAACCTCAACACTGCAGCATCTAAAGAAAACAGTTGTGGGATGATTAAGTATACTATGTTTTAATTCAGGGCCTTATATCTTGGGATTCAGGATTAGAAAATTCTAGGAACCCAAAGATGAAATGGTAGCTCGGATCCTGAACAAGGATTGATCTGTCATGCCAGGGCAGCAATACACAGCCACATTATTTTTATTACTGTTTTGTGCTATTTAGATATAGATCTTTAAATTCTAATGAGAAAATTGTAGTATATAAACCAAGGCGAGGGTGTTCTAGCAATTCTATGAAACTCACGTTCACTGAAAGGCTCTACTTCAGCTGGGCCCTTGAGCGTTTCTGATCTAATCCAGTCTGATCGTCCCTGGATTCCCACGCAGCCATCTATCACCTCTTCTCCTCTCCCTTTCACATACCTATGAAACTGATTTAGGTAGCAGGCTTTGTTTTTGGCAATTGGTTATAAATGGATTCATGCTAGAAAGATAAACTGGGGGAAGGCAGATCAGAGAATGTGAAAACATGGCTTTTACAAAAATAAAAGTAAATACATAGGCTTTCTAAAAATAAAAATAAATACATTCCATTAAGGGGTGGAATGTGACGGGTCATGTGAAATAAAAGAACAAATAGGGTACAGTTTAAGCAAAACCAAAACTCACTGATACGTCACCTTATTTGGGCCCAAATTCTTTTCAAATCCTGAACAGCCCCATAAAATAAGTATACAGTTGTCAAAAGACAATTTTTGAGTGCACACCGCTACCATAGAGGTGGTGTATTTTTCCCCTTGAGATTTACACAACACTGACCCACTGGTGAAATGACGCTGCTCAAAAATAGTATTTCTGTGAGCACTGACAGACACTAAAATAAAATACTCAGGCCAAGACCATCACCAAGTCAGGGAATGCCTCCTCACTGCAGAAGATTTAAAAGAAAAATTTATTTTCATAAATATATTAGTCTCCCATCACTGCTAATTATGTGATCACTAAGAAATGGAACCAAACCTTGTTTGATTTAATTGTCCCGAGGTTTTGATGGGTACAGCTACGAATGATAATCATAAACGATGAAAAGCGATATGCAGTCTTCTTTCATTCCTCCATCAGCGTGCTTTGGGGAGCATATGTGTAGCTAGAAGTTTTGTTTTGTGTGTTTGGCATCTAAGTCAGCAAGACGAGTGTGGGAGTAAATAATGCGCTGTGTCTGCTGCAGCTCTTTTGCCCTTCATTCCCAGAAGTCGGTTCGGCATAACACAGGCTAAATATTGGGGCCAAATCAGAGCCAGACTAGGCAATCGGATCCAGCCGGCTCATCTTTAATTAGGCGTACCTTGTGAAGGACAGCTGGGAGGATTCTGGATAAAATTGAATCAGATGCTCCGATCCAGGGCTAGACCCCCAGGATTTTTCAAAGACTAAGCTAATTCATGTTATGGAAATTTTTCCGCAACTGCGTGCGAGGCGGCTTAAGGAGTGAACACTGGCCGAGGGAGACCCAGCACTGTTGCTTTCTTCTGTTGACAATAACTGATCCCCCTCCAGTGTCCCCGCAGCATGTTCTGTGTTCCCCCGTGGGGTCCTCTCTGCCCAGAGAGGTCAGAAAGCCTGACGTGCGTACAAGCATGGCTCTGGGGACTTCATCTGACAGTCTCTGTGCATTTAATTGAACACCAACATTTTCCACCTGTTAGAATTCCTTATAATAGAGAACTCAAAGTAGAACACCTCTAGGAAAATGCAGTACAAATGCCTTGGTACATTATTACCTCTGGACACCTTAAAGTTGCTGTTGACCAAGGCACTAGTCTATGAAATATATGAGTCTTCAACAAGGTTGCTCAGATTACCAGATGTAAGAATGAAAAATTGATCAAACCAGTGAAGAGAATAAAAAATGTTTTGAAAAACATCAGAAACAATGCAAAGCTTCACTAGACAAGATGGTAGGAATTCGCCAATGGTTGTTATATTGCATCGTTGTTTTGTTTTTGTCTACGTTGTTGTTATTTCGTTATTTTTTATTCTCTTTAAAATAAAACAGTGTCATTAGGAAAAGAAAATATATGAGTCAAGCATTCTGACTGAAGCGGAGTAAGAAACTCTGAGCCAGACCCAAGCCCTCGATCGTCCTGCTCAAGAATTGTCACCAAAGCCTAGGGCCTCTGTCCATCCAGCTTTCTTCATACAGAGACAGTTATTCCAAATCATAGGAGAGCTCAGCGTTCTCTGGCAAAAACATCGTAGTCACTATCATCTCCCAAATGCTCTTACTTCCTACCACAAAAGATGCCTCTTAGACAATGTCATTGGCCAAATTCAGACTTGAATGCTCCTAAAATCAAATTCTTCTTTCAGTCTTAAGCACTCACCTACATGCATAACATCACCTACATGCATAACACTGAAGTATCAAAATGATATTAAAAAGAAGAAGCACTAAGGAGGACAGGCCTTGTCTGTCAGCCACCACAGTTTTTTTTGGAATGATAGCATATATGTAGTAAGCAACAAAAACTATTTTTAAAAATAAGTTGATACATGAAGATACAGTCACACAGATACTGAGGCAGCTCAGAAATGCGCTGGTCTCATAAAGCAACATAAGAAAACTGGAAAGTATCCTACACTGATGGCCATGAACACGGAATGCAAGATACTATGTATGGAAAAGTTTAGGGAAGGGAACAGTATTGTGATAAGGTGGGGTCCCCAAATGCATTCACTTGGGAAGTCAAAGACTGTAGATGGGGCTCCTTGAATGCTTTGGCTAATGAGTTTTAAAATAATTTCATTTGCATCTTAAACTCCAGCAATACCTACACATTTTCTTTATATCACAATGTCAGATTTGTCAGCCGTGTGCAAAATGATGCTTCTCCTCTGCACAGCTCTGTCCTTTGTTGTGTGCGCAGTACTTGCTGGTGATCGATGGTAGCCCTAGGAACAGCTTTCTCTCCTCTTCATATTTTTGATCTATAGATCTGGAAACCAAAACCCTCCAGGGGGGTAAAGGTGAAAGCAGTCTCAGCTCCACGGGCACCTTTCTTGTGGATAATTCTAGTGTGGACTTCCAGAAATATCCAGACAAAGAGATACTGAGAATGACCGGACCGCTGACGGCAGATTTCATCGTCAAGGTGAGCTCATTTAAGTATCTTCTAGGCAAGCTACATCAAAATGATGCTACTTAAAATCTCCCAAGGAGAGACAAACTTTAGGTTTTCCTTATGTTTTAGTCAGCCTTTTGTCACTGTGAGGTGACAAAAAGTATTTATGCATACTTTACATAAATAAAGCAGGGAAAGTTTTGGCCCGTGGTCCCAGAGGCTTCAGCTCATGGACATGAAGCTCCACTGCTTGAGGCTTGTGGCCAGCTAGAAACATGGTGGAAGAGTGCAGCACAGCAAGGCTGGTTATCTCACCACAGCCAAGAAACTGAGAAAAATGGAAGGGCTGTCAAAGATGGGGATAAAGAGAAGACATTGGCCCGAGGTGATGCCCCCATGACCTCATCTGTTCAACGAGGCTCCGCACCCTCGATTTTTATTGGCTCCCTATAATGCCACCGAATCACATTACTAGTGGAGGGGCTGGGGATTTAGCTCAGTGGCACAGCGCCTGCCTGGCAAGCACAAGGTCATGAGTTTGATTCCTGGTACCGGAAAAAAAAAAAAAAACATTATTAGTGGACTAACCTACTGATGAAATTAAAGCCCTCATGATCCAATCCCCTCCCAAAAGTCCCATTTCTGAGTGCATGAGACTTCAAGGAACATTCTAGATCGAAAGCATACAGCATATATTTGATAAACCTGTTCATTATGCATGAAATGCTTAGTTCAAGCACATTGAGCTGACTACATCTTGAACTTCATTAGAACATAGGACATACATGTACATATACATATACAGTGGGGAGATCTGTATATAAACTCCACCTAAGAAGCCAGCACAGTACCCAATTATGGTACAGTCATTGACTTATATAGAGTATGCCCAGTAAAAGAGAAACAAACTGCTGGTCCATAGACTTGATCAACTAACACACTTTTAATGGCAAGCTCTATTTTCTCTTTTACTGGCAGCAAAACTAACTTGTTTCCTTCTATCAGAGCTTCCCTACTCTTTGAGGTAATATAAAACATATTGCTGGAAGCAACCAGCACATTCTATTGGAAAAATGCACACACTGAGAGAACATTTGGGAATCACAATAAAATAAAACATATTTTTTCCTTCAGTAGATCAGGAAGACCTGAAAGATTTCAGCTGTAAAGCTGTAAAACTTGTAATATGTCCAAGACTCCATAAATTTTTTTTCATCATGGGACCTGGAGCCAGAGGACATTTGATTTAAACTATGACTAGGTGACCCCAGGGCAGCTGGAAGTAAGAATGCATATAGGAAAATGTGATAGGCAGCGAGGTTGGATGGAGAAGGGTTCCAGAAGACTGTCTTCTGTCTGCGTCTGCTTGGTGCTGCCCGTCCAGCCAGCGCAGATGCCAGCCACATGGACACAAACAAGAAGCAACAGATGGTTAGAGATAGCTTAACAGAAATGATTCTGTGAGTAAATACAGAATTTCCTTTAAGCAAGCAAATCCAGTGAAGAAGTGATGTACCTTGTTTGAATACTGGTGAGCAGACCACATACTCTATCGCAATTGATCTAATGGCCCTGCAAGAGTTGGTACCCATATTCAAAATACAAAACTGAAGTAATATTCTGCACCTTTGAATAGTTCATAGCATTGTTGGGTGATTTTTATCTATCCAGCCGCCTTGTACACATCCACTACAGGACTCCTGCAGTCATAATGAGCTCAGCACATTTACAGCTGAACTTGTCTAGCTCCAGAAACCTCTCTTATCTCCTTTCCTCTTATCTTGCAGATAAGAAGTGCACTGTGTAGCCAGACAATCAGAAACCTTTTATTAACCCTTCTTTCCCCTACTCTTGGACATCACTCTAACATTAGGCTGTCAGTTCTACCTCCACTCAGTTCTACCTGAGTGATCATGCCAGTTCATGATCATTCTTTCTCCTCCCCACTGCTACCCCTGTCTTAGTTCAGGTCCTTGCATTTTCTCACCTGAGCTAACACCATGGATTCTGAATTAGCTTTCCAGTCTTTGATCCATTATCTATGTTGCCTTCTCATACACAGCTCTACTTTGCAGTTAAAATGAAAATCTACGGCATAGCACGTTACTTCTAATAACCTGGATTCTGTCTCCCTTTCTGCCCTTGCCTTTGGTTTTGCCCCTTCTGTTCCAGCTGAGTGATTCACAGGTCCCCCAATGCCTTCTTTCTCCACACTCACTGCTTTTGCAAAATGCAGTTCTCCCTACCTGGAATGCTCTTCTCTTTTCCTCTTGTACCCTCTTACTAATGCCAATTTGTTCTTTAAGGGTTTCTTCCTTCCAGAAACACTCTGTAAATTCTGCCCAAGTTTCTGCTTTCACTATGTGTCCCTCCCCTCTGTGTCTGAAGGGAAGGCACTGTGCTGTGTGTGTCTTCATATCTCCATAAGCGGAAACCGTCAAGCCCTGACAAATGCTGGATGAATAAGGAACGTTTCCCACACAGCCGTTGTTTAAGATGAGCAAATGCTGCGGTCTCGGTTTTGCCCACCAGGAAAGCAACTCGTGTAGCTTCGTGCGCTTCGTCATCCGGGACTAGAAATCCCATCACATCCGACCCAGAACTCTTTCAGTATTATGTGTGACTTATAAGAGTACGTTATTTTCTTCTAAGATTTTGTTAGAAAATATCACAAATTAAATAAAGTTATTATGAAATAGATCATGTGAAATTTAAAATGAATTTACACAAACTTGAAGATGGCCAGATTATGTAAGAAGACACAGAAAAACAAAGGTGAAATTACCTTTTTTCAGTGATTTAAAACAATTTTTTCTAATTTTCCCAAATTACTGAAAATAGACTGCCATTTAATTATTTATTATTTTCCATGATTTCATCCTTTAAAATTGCACATATAGTATGTAATTCAGTTTTAACATCATTAAAAGTATAGTCTCTTCTTTATTGTTATATATTAATAATATGTAATTATTTATTCTGATTTTTTTATTATTATTAACTAGATCCTCTTTATAGATTTAAAGGGCAGAGTATCTAAGTCTCAAACCAATTTCATGTTAATAAACTTCATTAAAACACTGTGTAACTGACTAGTTTGAAGATAATGATATACACCATATTACCTATTGTTATTCTCTTATTTTGTTATGGAATTTTGTTTTCATCTTTCATAGAATAAAAAAATTTTTAAAATTACGAAGCACTGCAGTCTCCCTTTACAGTCAGTGTTTTCTGAGACTACACCGCGCTTTCTGTCTTCAAACATCTGCTGATGGGTACTGAGCGCGGCGTAGGGATCTGGACTGTTCAAATAGCACCGCAACGAGGGTGCGCGCACAGACACCTCTGTAACTTACTGACTTCGTTTCTTTTGGATACGCAGTACACCAAGGAGTGGGACTGCTGGACCGCGTCGCAGTTTTATTTTTATGATTTTGGGAAAACTTTGTACTACTTCTCATAATGCTTTTACAACTTTACATCTCACCAACAGTACGGGGTCTCCTCTGTCCTACATTCTTGTCCACGCTTATCATTTGACTCTATCACAGCAGTTCTGACAGGTGAAGCGATTGCTCGTGGGGGTTTGGATTGCATTTCCCTGCTGCTGAAGCAATATTGAGCATCTTTTTCATATACTTGTTGGCCATTTGTGTCTTCTTTTTAGCAAAATGTCTATTCAGATCATTTGCCTATCATTTTCATCAAGATATTTGTTTTCTTGCTATCAAGTTATGTTCCTTATATTTTTATTTTTACTTTTTTGCACATCACAAACTCTCATTTCAATGTAAAATATAGATGACTTAGAAGAACCGGGGAGTTGTAGATCATGCCTTCACTGATTCAGAGAAGCATTTGCGATTAAGTATTATATGGCTTTGATTTTATGAAATGTGACCCATTTTTATTGTATCACTTTAAAAAAAATATTTTACTAGTACATGTTTACAATACCTAACTTTACATTCATCTTAAGGAGTAGGTCTGTGTGCTTAGTGTAACTTAATTCTGTCATTCTCCCTCGCCCCCCACCCTCTCTCCACCTCTGGATCACCTTCCCCCTTTTCCACTTAGTGTCTAGCCCGTGTTTGTAACACAGAGACTGCACTCACTGTGAGTAGCTGCCACATCTGCCCTTACTGCTTTTACCATGTACAGGTACGTTCTCCCACCCACAGGGTATTTTTCACACTATCAATTATTCCTTTTGCTGAATGGAAACTTTTTTAGTTTGCTATAATAGCATTTTTAAATTTTTTTCTTTTGTTCCTCTGGCTTTTGGGGTCATCTAAGAAAATCATTGTTTAGACCAATCTCATGAAGCTCTTCCTAATGTTTTTTTCTAGGACTACCTTTCAGTCCCTAACTTTTTTGAGTGGTGTAAGTTGATGTTTTGTGTGTGGTGTGAGGTAAAGGTCTAATTTTATTAGTCTTCTGCCCATGGATATCTGGTTTTGCAGACACCGTATATTGAAAAGTCTGACTTTTCCCTGCTATTTTTTTTTCTTTGCAACTTCCTGAAAAATCAATTGAACATGAACGCCCAGATTCATTTCTAGGCTCTGTAGTCTGCATCACTGGTTTGTGTGTCTGTTTCTATGCCAGCATTATACTGTGCTGTTCTGATTACTGTAGCTTCACAGTAAATTTTGAAATCAGGTAATGTGATTCTTCTAGTTGTGTTGTTTTTACTCAAAGTTGTTTTCACTTTGGGGGATCGTTTATGGTTCCATACAAATTTTAGAATTACTTTTTCAATCTCTGTGAAAAATGTCATTTAAATTTTGAAAGATGTTATATTGAATCTGTAGATCATATTGCATATTATGGACATTTTAACAATACTAATTTTTAAATTTATGAATATGGAATATTTTCCCATTGATTTGTGTCTTAAACTTTATCATCAATGTTCCAATAGTTTTCTGTGTGTAGATACTTCACTTTTGTTGGTTAAATATATTTCTAAGTATATTTATAGCCATTGTAAATAGGATTGTTTTCTTGATTTTTTTTTTAGTTTG